CTGGAAGTCACATGAGACCTTCAGGCTCACATATTTTCAATCACACCAGTGTCTGTAGATTTCACTGTACTCTTAATCTGCAAAACACATGCACATGATAAAAACATCTTCACCAAATTGACAACACACGTGTAGGATTTTAAAGGACATGGAAAGATGGAAAACAACCAAGCACAGAATGCCCTAATACATAGTGGAAACAAATAATGACATCAGTGCCAGCACAGAACACAGTGGCTAACACAAACCACAACCCAAATCTAAAACACATGGCAAATATAGCCTGTTATCGGACAAAGTGAAGATAAAAACAGAGTGTAATAAGTTAATGTCTGTTTGCTCTCCCTTTGGCTCATTTCCATGAAGTAGGAGATTTGATTTCCCCAAACCATTTACTAGAGGTAAATCTGTCTGCCTGAATCCAACAGTAAATTCAGAACTGTAAGACCAAAATATATGTGTGAAACCTTAACTGAAAAGTAACTACTTGTAGTTTCTAAAAATGTTCCTGTTGAGCCTGTGGCTGAAACACAGCCAGACTCTGATGTTTCTGTAATTAATTTCAGGTTGCTGTGCTCTTTGATTTCAGGAATGTGCAGTTTTTTTCTGTATTTTGTTGTTTTTACACTTTTCAGCTTATGTGTTGCCAGCTTGATGGTTTTCCCCCATCTTTATCTATTTAGAGGTATTTTCTTAAGTTGGACTCTGTTGAACTGTCAGGGTTCAGGTACTGCTGTCAGCTTGTCATGATATGATTTCATTAAGGAAAAAGTAAAAAAACAAAACAAAAAAACAGCTGCAAAGTGAAACCAAATGAGTAATGCATGTTTAGATACATTTTTGGAAATGTAAACATTTCTTGTTCTTTATATGTCAGGCCCATGCTGATAGTGTTCACTTTGAGTTCTGCAGTGTTTGTAATTATACGTTGATGACATTAACATACATTACCCGAGTTTGTGGCTGTCTGTGGCTGTTAATTTTTTTAATTGCTAGCTAATTTCTCTTGACAGCCTCTGTCATTAAATGATAACAACTCACACAAACATAACTCCTCGTGAATAGAAGGAGCATTAAGCACAAGGATGGTAACTAATAACAGAATTAAAGTTTATGTTGGCATTTATGTACTCCAAGTGACTTGAGGACCAAAGAGGTCTGGAGACTCTCTGACAGATTCTTCCAGGTATGTAACTTCAGCACCTTTAAAGGCTTTCTCGAACTGCATGTGCACTGCCATTGCCAGTAGAAATACAATTAGCAAACTGGTTGCAACAAGAAGGAGGAAATTGTTATTGGAGCTGTGTGATTGTTGTGTGTTACTGTTTTTTATAATGACAGAGTAGCAAGAAATGTTGTTTACCCTCTGAGGTCTAAGTCATCATCAATGATGACCCCAACCCTTAGCTCTGAACCCTAACTTCTTGTTAAGTAGATTTCTTTTTAATGTAAATAGGTTTTTCACATTACTGTGAAGGCCCTGGAGAATAATGTAAAAACGGTAATCAGAATGGGAGGAGGAAGATCGGGTTGCGTGTAGAACACTTGATGGACACTGGAGCTGTGTTGGAGCAGCTCTTTGCACTCACAGTCAGAGTGAACTTGTACTTTCTTGCAACCCTATTTCTGTTTATTCTTTTTCTATTACTTCTTTGCTCTGTGTCAATGCCTCAATAGCAGTTTGAAATAGCGCAGTGAAAATGTTGCTGTATTTCTTCAATAACATAATCAAGTCTGAATGTCACTGTTGCTCCATTAACTTGCTTAGACACCAACATCCACACTGATCTAGATCAGTCACTGTACAATTAAGTCACTCAGAGGTTCCTCTTACAGTGGAGGTAGTACTACAGTAGTACTACAAATTACCCAAAAACTGGTTTTAAAACCGCCCTGCGACAGACTGGCGACCTGTCCAGGGTGTACCCTGCCTCTCGCCCTATGACAGCTGGGATAGGCTCCAGTGCCCCCCGCGACCCTGAAAAGGAGAAACGGAAGCGAATGGATGGATGGATGGTTTTAAAACCTTTGATATTTCATAGTTCAGTGCTAAAACACAAAATAAGGAGAAAATCCCTCCTTACAGGAATTTATAGGGTTATAGAAGCTGTGAGTTTGATATGTCGTCCATGTACCATATTCAGGAAATATAATTTTCCATTGGTTTTAAATTTGCCTTTAATGTGGGATGTCAAGTGTTGGCTGTGTGACAGGCAGGTCGTGGACCCAAATGCACCACTTGGGAAACCGGTATGACTCAAAATATCAGTTTAAGTGCCATCATTCACAATAATACAGGAAAACCAGATTATACACAGGGCAGGGACTCAGAATATCAGTAGATTGTGGGAACAGTGAACAAGGAAGCACAACCACGAGGGATGACATGACAAAAGACAATAGTATACTATCAATAGTAATTATGAATGGAAGAAAGGAGGAAGTGAGAACTAGAAAGACAATCTGGGGTCAACAAAATATTTGACTTAACAAGTAGGGTCCCCGTTTAACCAATGATAATTAGATAACCTTAACCACATGATTATTATTGCAACTTTGAATACGAAGGTCCTCTTTTCATACACATATTTCTTCTCACAGATGCTGTCTGCCTTATCTTTGTATTCTGCAGCTTATAATAGTAGATACTCATTTGTTTTTGTAGACTTTAATCTAGTTTGTGTAACAGACACGGCCACTACTTCATCTTGGAGATAAATTTTTTAAACACGAGAAGTAGATAATCTTTTTTACCTGGCACTGATGAGTTACTGTATATGCTTGTAAATTCAGTAAGACAGGTGGCCTAATTTGATTTTCATCTATCTTACAATGTGACTGAGATACCGGAGAATAGAGCAGCTTAATGTATGATGACAGAAACAGATGTACAGAGCAAAAGGCAGCGTGGGGGATTCATGTTCTGTTTGTTGTGCTTTTCCATTGTTCCTTTTATTCTTGTGGAAATGCTCTTACAGCCCCTTCTTGGCACTGTGTCTTTGCTATTATATTTTTTCCTGGTGCTGTGCATCATATGAGTACATGGAAATGTGGACATGTACACTCTCCTCATTGTGCTATTACCGGTAGTTAAATTATTTTTCCTTCAAGTGCCCTTATAAATAAACCCTCATAAATGAATCTGGTTTATTCAGCAGTGAACAGAATGTGTGTGCAAAACAAACACGCTGAATAGGAAGCAGCTGACGGGGTGGCCGCTTTATCCCACACAATCTCTGCCATTTCAGTGGGGAGATGGAGTGTTACTAAACTGTGGTTTCTGCATGTCTTTGACACTTCTTCTGATTCACTATTTTCATCCATCCATCCATTCGCTTCCGCTTATCCTTTTCAGGGTCGCGGGGGGCGCTGGAGCCTATCCCAGCTGTCATAGGGCAAAAGGCGGGGTACACCCTGGACAGGTCGCCAGTCTGTCGCAGGGCTAACACACAGGGACAGACAACCATTCACACTCACATTCACACCTAGTGACAATTTGGATTAATCAATTAACCTATCCCCACAAGTTGCATGTCTTTGGACGGTGGGAGGAAGCCGGAGTACCCGGAGAGAACCCACGCAAACACGGGGAGAACATGCAAACTCCACACAGAAAGACCCCGGCCTGATGGTGGAATTGAACTCAGGACCTTCTTGCTGTGCGGCAACAGTGCTAACCACCGTGCCACCGTGCTGCCCTATTTCATTAATTATATTATATGAAAATAGTGAGTTAATGTCTGTTTGTGAATCTTCTTCAAATTGACTAGCGTGACTATTAATTGAGTCGTCAGACGATTTGCATTATCAAATTGTATTCAGGGTTAATATTAAGAAAATGACATGTTTTCTTCGTCTTTTTTTGTTTTACTTTTTTTTTTTTTTAAATTATATTTTAATACAAACAAACACAAACACACACGACACACAGACACAACACACACACACACACACACACACACACACACACACACACACACACACACACACACACACACACACACACACACACACACACACTTTCACACAAACAAACCCATAAATCTTCTTGCTATCAGATTCTATGTAACATACTGAACTGCATTCCCTCTCAGGAGAGATCTCGCTATGTCTCCATCAATACATAGGCATTCCAGAGAGTTCTATAACTCTAAGCTTCATGTGGCCTTCAGATTAACTCAAGGACAGTGTGCTTATGGCTGAGTTTACTGCTGTAGTATTTCACCATCGTCTGAGATCAGTTGTAATGCTGTTATTTCAGGGGGAATTGAATGTTACATTGTGACATAGTTTGTGAGGAATAAAAAATGGGTTATTATGCCTTCTATTAATAGACAAACATATGTCTTTACGCTTGGCATCCAAACCCATGAATAAAATGGAACTGAAATTATGTAACATTATATAAAATATTTGATATTAACCATAAAGAGTGCTGGTGGTGCCGGATCCAATTTTAAAGCACATGTCAGTGTAGATATGTTTAGTAGATGCATTTAAGTCTAAATGAGTCCATAATTCTTCAATATTTAAATCCAAACAGTGAGCCACCTTTTTGGACTTTTTAAGTTTCATATTAAAGAAAATCCAAAATTTAAGCAAGAGGGAATAACATTTCTCAGGAGAGAACTTAGCCTGTCCTGCTGCTCTGAACATGTTGAAATAATGAATATGAACACTCTGTTTTAGGTCTAATTTTGGGTCTAAAACTAGGAACAACAAACTCATTGTTTGAGTCTCAGTGTTCCTGTTGAAAATCATACTCACAAACTAACTTGTGGGATAACTAACAAGCTAGATTAGTTAGCTGTTTGTGAAACACAGAGGCTCTGTCAAGATTTGGGCCTGCAGTTTAAATAGTGGTATTGAGCATCTGGTCAAAACTGATGGAAAGTACTAAAAAATACTCTCTTGATTTTGATCTACCATGAAGAATGATGGGAAAGAATCTGAACTAATGGATAATTGGTATGATCGCAGTCTTTCTTTCTCTTTTTCAGGAATCATGTCTGCAACAGGGAATGGATATGTCATTTATATGACCATGAAACGGAAGACCAAGTTAAAGCCTCCTGAGCTCATGACTGTTAACCTAGCCATCTTTGATTTTGGCATATCAGGTACTACATCTCTCAACGCAGCTATGTTTGTCTACAGGAGATATAGACTGTGTGGTAGCTATTAGTATCACATATTATTTTTCAACTAGGAGAACTACTGTTCATTACTTGATTATAAACTGTTTTGCATCAAGTCAACTTATGTCTTTACTCCTTAATTTGTACTTATTGTCATTATACAATGCATGTAATTTCATTGAGTAATAAATACAATTATTATATTGCTTTCAAGTAACAGTACTACAAAAACCGTGATTGTGCTTGACACTGTTTAGGAATTTAAAATCTTCAGTATTAAATATGCAATATCATTTGCTACTTATAATTTGAGTCCAAAGCAAAAAGGTAACTTGTATTTAATACAAGCATTAAAAGCAGCATCTAAACTTGGTGAAACATATAAGTCACTGCTCTCTCATCTACACAGATCGTACAGTGGTTGATTGATTAGGAGCTGCTGTGTTCCTGTGTCTTTAAGGTGGCAGATATTTTACACTTTAAATTGCAATTGCTCTAGAAAGTTGCTTTAACCTGTGTTAATGCACTTAAAATGAAAAGAAAACTATATTTTTTAACAATATGCAGTATTCCAGTTAAGTTTTGTCCTACATGTTTTTAGTGTCTACTGCAAGTTATATTGTAGTTACACTGAGTGAGCCAGATCAGTCTGGAGATAAGCAGTAGTGTGTCATGTGACTTATTACATTTTGACATGTGTTTCCAAACAGACATGTTTCGTACTTAAAGAGTTTTGATAGCTTTGAAACGTGTCCTATCATTTCAGGCTTTCCATATGGAAAAGAAATAGTAAAAACTTATATGTGATTACTCATGAAAGTGGCCACTTTCTCATTACTTTCATACATTGTTTTAGTAAGTATCCAAAACATACAAGTTTCATTACATAATTTTTCACGGGATCTTATATGCTTTTCATACAAGTTTCACACAAGACAGATACAGACTTTATAAAATTTATATATATCTTTTCCATATGGGTTACCTCGTGCCTAACTAAGTTGACTGTCAGGTCTGTGTTGCACTGCAGTTCATTCATGGCTACCATCATCAGGCGAAAGGCTCTGCAAGAGACCCGAAGGCAGAAATGAGATTCAAGTCCTACTCCCCACTTGTTACATGCTGTAATTCTATTTGTTAAAAAAAGACTAAAAGAGAAGAGCTGAATAAATCAAAGCATAAACATGATAGAATAAGAATCTTATATCTAAAATGATTGCAGACACCACATTCAGCTGCCAAAAGAGTAAGGAAAAACACCAATAGATATGATAAAATGCCTTTAGCTGACAACATTTAGTATTTTTTCATATACAGATTAGTCCAGTAGAGTCTAACATGACTTTTTCAATGTCCATTTCACACATAATGAGACTGTAGTCAAAAGTGCTCCGCTGTTAACCCTTTTAAACGTGATGAAGAGGGTGGTGGATGTACTGAATGCAGTTCCTTGTTTTGCAGGAACCTTGTATGCTGAGGCTTTTCGTAGTGAGCAGCATTGTTCCTAATCTCAGTTTTATGATGAACGCTTTTACACTCTTAAATGCCACATTGACTTGTTTGTTTGAACCCCGCATGTTCTAAATGAACATGTCACACCTCTGTATAGTGTCAACTAAAAAAAGATTTTGACCCACTTTGATTCAGTGAGTTGTGAAACATGTGTCCTCCTACATGAAAGCTTTGATTTCCTCTCTCAAGCGCTGCCCCTGCTCAGCCAGCTCAGTGAAGAACAGGACATCCCTTTATGCTGCTTCAATTTCCTGACAAGAGGGCACTGTCTGCTAGGGCTATAGTTGGTGTATTCTGGTCCGAATCAGTGGATGAGTTTGTAAACATATAGCTTTTCCCTGTGGTTGAGTTTGTTTTCATGCTGCCAAATTGTATTTGTGGTGTTAATTTCTTTATTAGAGTTATTTTTACCCTACAGTTAAAGGTTTAATTAATTAAAAAGAGAAGATATAAAAACTCCATCTCCCTGATGAAGTCAATGGAACCACATCATCTGCAAAAAGCAGAGATGAGATCCTGAGACCACTTAAGCCTTCAGCCACTTGCCACCAAAATATCCTGTCCATAAACATTATGAAGACAACTGATAACAAAGGGTGGCAAGCCAAATTTTTTGTCAGCAGTGCGATTCCCCCCCCACTTCTTTAAGTTGGCAAAATACATAATACTAAATACAAATAGACTGGTTGGGCAAAGTCCCACACATACTCAGATATCCTGGAGAGAAAAAGGAGGCGGACCAACGTTCCACGAGTGGAATGAAAACCATATTATTCCTCCTAAATCTGACATTTGACTAACAGACTCTGTTCTGGAATTTCTTCTCCAGTACTGTGATGAAGAACTTTCCAGTCATTGGGATTGAAATTCTTGATCCTTCCTTCCACAACCCGACTATATCCTCAGTTGAAGCCAGCAGCACCACAAAACCACTATAAAGTGTGAGCAGGACAGTGTTTACACCCCTGAGTTGCCAGATAAAAGGGTGATGGAAAGTCTTGTTCCATGGTTAAAAAAATATAAAGCAATATTGAAGTATCAGATACGCACAATAGATTTCAGCCTTAACTATTCGAGGGAAAAAATGACAGCATATTACTGTGAAAATGTTAGGAAATGTTGAGAACTGGTATAACTAACTGATGAGAACTAACAAACAACAAGCAACCTTGAAAACCATTAGAAAGTCAATCACCTATCTTCAGTGGAGAGGAAGGTGATCCTAGTGTGTTACAAAATGTAACTGGTCCTTAATGTCAATGTATTTCTCATGCTGCTCCTCTCTACAACATTCCTTGTAATTTGGGCTGGCCAGAGTAATGATATTAAATATTAGGTGTGGATGTGTATCTAATGTCCAACAACCCCTTGAGCAAGAAGTAAGGTGGAATTTTTATCGTGTTTCTTACTGCTTCCCTAACCCGATCTGAATATAAATTGCCCAGCATCAGTCAGCTCCTTTCCCCACCTCACTCAGGCCACCTTCACTAAAGCTGTATTAGCTCACCCTTAGCATTTTCATTGATTCATTTATTCACAGACACAGGATAAATTAAATAATTTCCATCCCAATAGCTCTTTCCTCTCCTGGTGAGATTGGGCTGTATGTCTGTTTCCTGGCTTTACATTTCATTTTAAGATTTTAGGCCTTTTTGTTGCACTGCATCCCACATGTTGTTGTCCAGACTGAAATTGTTTCAGATCAGGTTTAGTTTAAATCCTTTCAGAACATTTAGGAACTAGTGTTTTTTCTTTCCAGATGAGTGACTTGTTTTCCAATGAAAACTGATGTGAGATGCCAGACGAATATGTCTGACATTTAGAATTTTATTAGGGGTCTTCTAAACATTGGGGACCGTCACATTATGTTGCAGATTAACACTTGTTGGGCTGGTAGAAGGTGATGGAAAGGTCATGTGTCTTGAGGAATACTTGTCAGAATTTGAAAACAATTGGGAGCGGAGTGGGGGGGGTGCATCGTTAAACTCATCTTATCGCTTTCCCTGCCAGATGCCAGTCACTGGCAGCATTTTTAATGATATTCTCTAAAGTTTCGATACTGCCTATTTTGGAATATGAAGACAGTTATTCTCTGTCAGAAGACAGAGAATAACTTCTACTTTCAAAAACATTTTATTCTATATTCATTCTTTCATTTCTTTTCTTTCTTTTGAATCATTTTCATTTTTTCATTTTTAATGAAAAAAAGATTTTGGGCCAAAACGTAATTAATTTGAACATAAAACTAAAACTAAAACATATTTACATGTTTGTTTGTTTGTTTTGTCTAGTTTCCATAGAGTAATTTCAGTCGTCTAGCAAACAACCCTAAACAAATAATAATAATAATAATAATAATAATAATAATAATAATAATAATACTAGCAGTACAGGGTGGGCCATTTATATGGATACACTGTAATAACATGGGAATGGTTGGTGATATTAAAGTCCTGTTTGTGGCACGTTAGTATATGTGAGGGGGCAAACTCCTCAAGATGGGTGGTGACCATGGTGGCCATTTAGAAGTCGGCCATCTTGGATACAACTTGCTAAAGAACCAAATGGGACAGGCAGAAAAAAAAAAAAAAAAAAAAAAAAAAAAAAGAGTTGGCCATCTTGGATACAATGTGACACATCAAACTTATTGGTAATGTCACAAGAAAAACAATGGTGTGCTTGGTTTCAACGTAACTTTATTCTTTCATGAGTTATTTACAAGTTTCTGACCACTTATAAAATGTGTTCAATGTGCTGCCCATTGTGTTGGATTGTCAATGCAACCCTCTTCTCCCACTCTTCACACACTGATAGCAACACCGCAGGAGAAATGCCAGCACAGGCATCCAGTATCCGTAGTTTCAGGTGCTGCACATCTCGTATCTTCACACCATAGACAATTGCCTTCAGATGACCCCAAAGATAAAAGTCTAAGGGGGTCAGATCGGGAGACCTTGGGGGCCATTCAACTGGCCCACGACGACCAATCCACTTTCCAGGAAACTGTTCATCTAGGAATGCTCGGACCTGGCACCCATAATGTGGTGGTGCACCATCTTGCTGGAAAAACTCAGGGAACGTGCCAGCTTCAGTGCATAAAGAGGGAAACACATCATCATGTATGTCTGTGAAGGTTCTCAGTCACCATCTTTGAACAGAGGCGGGGTTTACGACACCAACTCTCTGCCATCTATAATCCAGTTTTGAGATCCCTTCCCAGACGCCTTAACGCCCACTCACATCCTGGGCCATCTGACTAGGAATTCGCATGATAAGGTGGGGCCAGGTTTCACAATGACATCACCCGAAACTCTGGCTGATTGGGACCCACGCCCAGTTTCACACCTTGGCTCAGGCGATTAGAGGATCATCAGGGGGTCCTTTTGTCCCTCTGTGGGGGGTCACTCCCACTAGGTTTATATCTGGGACTCTCCACCATTTGACCTTAGAACTGAAGAAGCTTCTCGGAT